TCTATATTATTTATTCTTAAAATTGTATCCGAAAATAAGCACCACTTATAACAAAAAAAGGGTGCTTAATTTCGGAATTATACGGTAAATAAAAAAAATCCGTACGCTTAAAATTTTATATCGATATTTATATAATTTCCAATTTGATTTGGCTATAAATTAAAATTAACTTAGTATGGCCATATTGAAATTAGTATTAGTATTGTATGCATACGTTAGCATTAGACCACATATCAGAACATAGTCTTGCATAGAGATTATACCCGTAGAAAAGAATCGCTACCTGGGTATTAGTAATCATAACCTTCGTGATCTTGATATAGTAATCGATGGAAAAAATGGTGATCGATATAGTGATCGGAGATTAAAATATCCGGATTACCTACCGCTATTAGGTAAATTACTATGTATTTCTGATGAAAACTTTATCGGATACAATGCCTAGTCTTGCATCTCCTTTTTATTTGACGTAACAGATCAATAAGTACCTTTATGCATTGTTGATGTCCAAATGCCCTTTTTTCACGTCCAAGCATATCAAATAGTTGATCGACCAAAAATTTGTTGGTCATTGGTTGAAGGTTCCTTGGTTTGTCTTTGTCAAATCGCTTAATTACATATTATATTATAAAGTATATATATATATATCGATATGGGTTCGCCAAATTAAAACCTGTAACAATAAATAATCAAATTTTAATTTGAAATCATTCTTATCGTTATCCAATTTGGTTAATTTTGCAATTCTAACCCCTTAGCGTTAGATCTAATTCAAATAAAAATAAAAACAGGATGAAACAGAAATACTTTTATATTAAAAAAAATTTATGCTAAAAATTATTTATAAATTTTTTTTGTTTAAAACAAATAAAATTAGACAATACCCCGTACGCTTTGTGCCTTTATAACAAAATTGAGCCTGCAATAGAAATTAGAGTAACATTTTTGCTTAGTTGCATACCCTGGTAAAATTTTGAGATATTGGCGATTTTAGAATGGGTACAAAGTTCATGGGGCACTGTCTCTAAAAAAAGAAAAAAAAAATTATTAAATGTAAAGAACTTTAAATTGGCAAGCTTCAGGGTAATACGTAATATATAGTGGTTAAAACTTTAATCCTATTTTTTAGGTTTCGCATAGGTGGGAGTATCCTGCATGAGCCGGGCTCGAATATAGATATGGATTTTGTACCATAGATCCGTATGAAATTGGACTAGGCTCGAAATATTGAATTCATTTCACTTAGTCGACATCATGCAAAGTGACAATTTACTAAAGATATATACCGGTATATATTTATATATACCTGCAACTAATAAAACGCCAACTATAACCCATGCGATGTCGGTTAAGTGAACTTTCGGTGAAATGATTGTCGGTATTCAGACCCAAAAATCTATGGATAGCCCTGATTTTAAACAAGATTATGGAATGTCCTTATCATTGATAATGGTGTAAAATAGACAAATCACAGAAAAATACATGATTTTTAAGGTTAACTTTAAAGGTAGAATTTATAATAAACAAGTATATATATACATATAAATGAGTTTTAAAATAAATAGAAATCTCTTTAATATAGCCTGCAACAATAAAAATAAGCATTTTATAGTTGTCGACTATGGATTATACTGTACTATGTATGGGATCTATACAACATATGATTTGGAGTTAATCACCTGTGACCTTGGTATTGTGATCGGGTGATTATCATCCTATGACTATAACCGCCTATGTGTGAATGACGCATTAGAACCAGTGATGTAAATTGGATACGTGCCATATTTTATTGGCGCTCTTCGCGTATTATAATTTTATTTTAATATTTTAATTATATATAAAAAAAGTTTTTTTAAACATATATAATACGCGCTTGCGCCAATAAAAATTTTTTGAATTTATAGAACCCTTTTTAGAATTATCAAAAGATGTATTTGAAAATTTTAGAAAAAATAGCAGCCATCAGATCCAACACGAATCTTATCGAACTATTACTCTGTTCATTAAGTAATATCCGATAACTTTCATCAAAATATAGCTATTATCATCAATAAAAATTGTACTAATAACATATTTTTTACTGCTTTTAGAATGGTGACGAAAGCCATGTAATATAACTGTTATCCACGAAAACCAAAAATGGCGCCACAATTCTGAAATTTTAATCATAGACGAATATGTAAAAGATTTACCACGTTTACATGTTGACAATTCCTTTTTATATTCTCTTTTCGAAACTTGAAAAAAATCCATACCAAAAACCTACATTTTATTAAAATTAATCAAAAATTATCACAATATTCAAGAAACAAATTTTATAGAAGATCGAAGATATCTTACGATTCAGTAGAATAGGATTTAATAATTTTTATTATACCATTAGATTCAGTATCGATATGAATCAAATAGTATAATCATCAAATTCTAACTAAATTCTAACTGCTGGATTGTGAGATATCCTTTGATTTTATTGTAGTAAATAATAATTTTTTGTAAACTGATTGCATATGATGTAGGAAAATTTGTGCTATCCACCATGCCTCTAGTGATTTTTTGCTCAGCCCGATGACTTCATAACGTGAATTGTGTACTGTACAATATCGGATATTTTTGCCATTCAATAATGTATGTTACATCATAAATTAAAAGCCTGTGTAACAATATACTTTGTCATAAAAAAAAAACCCCCCCAATCAATTCGACTAAAACCGAAGAAACATATCGATGTGCAGTACACTAGAGATTCCATTAAGTTTTATATCCCGCACAACATGAAAAATTTTATTTTTATTTTAATTAGATAAAATATTCACAGGAAAACGCAGGAAAGTGTAAAGGAAGAATGGTGATTCGTATATACTTCTACAGGAGAAGTAGATACGTATGTTGTTGAACGAAACCATTTCCCTTATTAAAGAATTGCTGAATAAAATTAATAAAATTGTATTTAATCAACTTGGAAGAAATGGTACAATGTTTGAAAAATACACAAATAAAATTGCTTCACCTTAGATAATCGACTTACATTTTCTAAAGAATTAGTCTTGGTAAGTTTGTAATGTTTGTATCGTAGATACGTTTTATGGTTTAATATTGAAATTTTCTAATTTTAAATTTTATTGACATCAAGTTTAATAAAGTGTACCATCAGTTTACACCTGTGCTTATTTCTAATACACCTAAGAACAAATTTCCAAGCCTGATAATTACTATATTATAAATTTAGATATATTGTAGAGGGCACATTATTTCGAGCAGTGATTCTACATTACCAAAGTCTCTAATAAAAAATAATTTACGCCCAGCGAAATATCTCGGATTCGCTCGAAACATTCACAATGTTATTCTGAAATCAATATTGTATACTATATATTTTTAAGAATTCGACTTTCTAAATAATGCCTATATTCGTTATTTTGCTTTACAGTAATTTGTCAAAGGCCAAAGTCGTTTTTATACTTAAAAAATGCCAATCTGAGAGATTTTAAACATTCTTTAATTAAAATTCTTAATTAAATTTATTATATCAGATATTATAAAATGAAAACGTATAAAAAAAAAATCTGATTGATTAAAACTGCCTCCATAATTTTGGCTCCTGATTTCAAAATTAGTAAATAAAAATCTTTCAAATTATTAATAATTGCTTTAAAAGTATTATATGACGCAGTTACTGCGATCTTCGTCTGTATATAGGCGACTAAATTATCGTTACACGATTAAGTCGCAGTTTTTTTTATATATATATATATAAAAAAAAAACCGATCATTTCCTCATACCCCAAGTTATTCTGGTTTTTTTTTCAGAAGGCTCAACAGAATTTTTTTAGGCTATCGAAAGTTTAATATAAAGAATAATAAAAATGAGTCAAGCGGCGGCAGCGGCAGATGCAACTGATAGGAATGTAGAAATCTGGAAGGTTAAGAAACTTATTAAGAGTTTGGAAGCTGCTAGAGGGTTAGTAAAAAACGGCCCCTACCATTTTATTCTTACTTTTTTAAATGGTTGAGTGTAGACAAGAAGTCTGACATTGTGTTTATCATGTGATAGGAATGGAACTTCTATGATCTCTCTTATCATTCGTAGGTTATCGATATTAAGATTGATTGAGCATGATTTCAATTTCTAAGTATTTATCTTATTCAATGTTTTCATAGCCCCTAAGGATCAGATTTCTCGTGTGGCAAAAATGTTGGCAGATGAATATGGAACTGCTTCTAACATTAAATCTCGGGTAAATCGTTTATCTGTGTTGGCTGCTATCACGTCAACACAACAAAGATTGAAACTGTACACCAAAGGTAAGTGAATGTGTGATATGATCTAGATTTCCTATACAATTAATTATAATATTTTTAATTCTTTTATTAGTTCCAACCAATGGACTTGTCGTTTACTGTGGTACCATTGTTACTGATGAAGGAAAGGAAAAAAAGGTTAACATTGATTTTGAACCTTTTAAAGCCATCAACACTTCCCTCTATCTATGCGATAACAAGTTTCACACAGAAGCTTTATCCGAATTGTTGGAATCGGATAACAAGTTTGGATTCATTGTAATGGATGGTAACGGTGCTTTATTCGGTACATTGAGTGGTAATACCAGGGAAGTCATCCATAAATTTCAAGTCGAATTACCTAAAAAACATGGTATGATCTTTTTCCCTTTCATATATTGTCATATAAAAAGTGAAGATATAATATTATAAAGTAACTGTAATGATACAATATTTTAAAAAAAATAAACAGGTAGAGGTGGTCAGTCAGCTTTGCGTTTTGCTCGTCTTCGTGAAGAAAAGCGACACAACTACGTTCGTAAAGTCGCCGAATTGGCAGTTCAATTCTTTATTACAAACGATAAAGTAAGTAATATATATATATATATATAAGTATTTACAAAATAAATAATATAAATAATGTATGCCAATTTTGTCAGGTCAATGTTACTGGACTTATTTTAGCCGGTTCCGCTGATTTCAAGACTGAATTGTCTCAATCAGATATGTTCGATGTGCGTCTTCAAACAAAAGTTATCAAATTGGTCGACGTTTCTTATGGAGGAGAGAATGGTTTCAATCAAGTAAATAATAATATAATAAACTATTTGATTAAATATTTTTTATTAATTCAATGTACTTAATGATTAATTATTATAGGCGATTGAGCTTGCCGCTGAGAGTTTAGCAAATGTCAAATTCATTCAAGAAAAGAAGCTCATTTCGAAATACTTTGATGAAATTTCCCAAGACACTGGCAAGTTCTGCTTTGGTGTTGATGATACTCTAAAAGGTTTAGAATTAGGTGCTGTCGAAACTTTAATCGTTTGGGAAAACTTGGATGTGTCTCGTTATGTCCTGAAAAATTCCAGTGGTGGTATGTTTTTAATGTTTATTACCAAAAATCATTTGGGGAATACGCGTAAATTGAGCTAGTTCTCATATCTTGCATCATATAATGTAGCGGAAATTGTTGTTCATATGACCAAGGAACAAGAAAAAGAACGTTCTCTCTTTCTTGATAAAGAGACGGGTATTGATATGGAAGTTGCGGATCGCATGCCACTCTTAGAGTGGTTTGCGGACCACTACAAAGATTTTGGCGCCACCTTGGAATTTGTAACCAATCGTTCCCAGGAAGGTTCGCAATTCGTTAAAGGATTTGGTGGGATTGGTGGCTTGCTCCGTTACAAGGTCGATTTTGACACTTTGAATTACGATAGCGAAGAGGATGGTTTTTTCTCTGGTAAGTTATTTATTCTGAAATTTCTTTGAATGTATTATTATTATAGATGATGAAACCTATGCTGCGATCTAGTACAATCGACTATGTGATCACGTTAGAGTAAAATTCGTGTTTAATTATACTTTTTATTATTTAAAAGCGGATTTCACCCTTATGTGATGATCATAGTGGGTTTACTAGCTCTTAACTCAGGCTTTACCCGTCATATTATTAATTAAGAGTATTCTAATTTCCCCCCTGGTTATATAAACACCCTCTTTATGCTATCTTAAAAACTAGACTAAATAACTATATTTAAAAAACCCTATACTAGCTTTAATTCTAATCCTAAACCTAATCTTTATAATAATTTTAACCACGGGGGCAAATTAGTTAAAATAATTATTAATTAATTATTGTCATTGTCTTTTTTTTAAATTAGATTGACAATATATCATTTCTCTACCGAGAAGAGGCGTCGTGGTGACCGGGCTGGCAGTGTCCGGCCACAGGAGGTGTGATATGTAAAAATGTCGAAATGAAAAGGTGATTATTATTAACAGGTTTGGTTTCAACTATAAATTTGTTGGTCGGTTTAACATAATTATGATACCGGAAATATACATAATCGCCAATCATCTGAAGTGTTTTAATTTTCAAATCGCTACAACTTTTTATAGAATAAATTTTTCAAAAATACAGACCGATAAATTTATACTTTTAATTGAGCTTTACAAAGCTATCGGGCAGTTTTTTTTTTTGAAAAGTTCTTATTAAAAAGTTCTACTGATTCGAAACATTAATAAACATATTGATTCAAATCGTTAGGATCATAGTTTTGTCAAATAAAATTATCGATCAGTCTTTAAATAATTTTTCTATTTTCCATAAAAGTTATAACGTTTAGAGACCCTGTTCGCATGATTCGCGATTTAGATTATACAATTTGTCCAATTCTACCAGTATCATAAAACCGATTAAGTCTCGATTATCATTTATTTTTGCTCGGCAATGATTTCTTATATATTACATTCTCTTCTATTGTTATGTAATTAGATCAATGGGGATCGTATAACAGTCATAGGACATGTTCAATTGAATGCTGTTACTTACTTATATCAAAGGAGTTGACACACCCAATTTTATATGTAAATTTTTACAAAAAAATTATTTAAATTGATTTTAATTAAAAATATACATATAAATCTTTCTTTAAATTTTAAATATATATTCTTTAGTATTTAATAATCTTTTGTTTAAAGTTTTAGTTCTTTATTTTAAGTAGAGGGATGGATATCTTTTTTAAAGTTGATCAATTCTTTACTATGTTTTTTAAGTCAAATAATTAACTCACTCTATTTAATAATATGATTGGTTAAAATAATCTTTTAAAGATTAAAGGTTCTACTAAGTAAAGGGTTTTCTAGCTTTAAATAAAGTTGTAGAGAAAGTTTTTTTAATTTTAATAGTTAAATTATTAAAATTGGCTTGTGAATCTTAAGGTGCTTGAAGTTGAAGAAAATATTTAACTATTACACAAAAAGTATATAATATTTCATGTAACAGTAAAATTGTAGATTCTTATATTCTTTTTTTTGATCCCAAGCAGGGTTAGTAATTTTTTTGCATTGTACAGAATATTACAAAAATTATAGAATAAAGTTACAAATATAAAAAATATTACAAATACTGTAGTAATAAGAAAGATAATAAAATTTTTTTTTTTATTACCTTAAAACAAAGTATACAGTATTTGTAAATTATATAAAAACTTTAAAGAACTTTGTGGTATAACTTAAATCTAAGTTTGTATAAAGTTTGTATAATTTTAGCCAAATATAGTAAATATATTAAATAGAGCAAAATTTAAAAAATTTACTATATAAAAATGCAATGTTTAGTGAATTTTTATACAAAATTTTTTTTTTTAATAGCATCAGAGTTGTATTACATACATATATATAAATGTTTTATTTATTATATATATGATTCAAAGCTGTTAATTTAAAAAATTATATAATGAAAATTGATAGTTATTATTGTTAAAACAAATAAAAAAAAGTAATATTACTAAAAATAGTAAAATTATATAAAGACTATGTTTAGAAAGCTAAAAAGTAATAAAATAATTTGTAAAAAATTTAATAAACTAATAAAGTTTTTTTATACTTATTTTTATTTTATTTTTTTATAAATATTAAATATAAAAACATTGGTGTGACAAGTCGTATCTGGGTGCACATGGTGTAGCTAGTGATGCCAGGCTTACAATTGTTAATTAAATATTATTAAAAATCTTTAACTTTGTTTTTAGTCTAGTAGTAATATAATTTGTCAACAAGACTGTCAAAGAATTAAAAAAAAAAAAAAAAAAAAAAAAAAAAAAAAAATATGTGCACTATAAAATTTAT